GAAAAATACATTTTGAAATTTTAGCTGAAACTGTGTCCATGCCCCTTTAAAAGAGAAAAAAAACTGCTTCTTCTTACAGTCACTCTCTATGTAGTAACTGTGACACGTTGAATATTATATATCGAGTTACTTGAGTTTCAATCGAACGACCATAGTTACTACTCAAAATACGTCATATGACCTTATGAACTCTACCCAAGCTAACCCAGCCACTGATACAGTAGGATTATAGATTTTCGATATGGCGGCATCGAAAGAAAAACCCGAACGTAGGAATTATTTTTTACTAAATATTATGTTTAGCATCGCTTATCCTTAAAAGCAAACTTCGAAACGCACTTTATACATAAACGCTTTATAATTTATATGATTTAATGTTTATTTGATTAGATTTTTCAGGCTTACTGCCCGATAACAGCAGAGACATAAATTCAAAATCGAAACCCAAAAAGTTCAGAGCTGAAAAAGAAAAACATTTCAACTGCAGCAAAAGCTATCGAAAAAATTAACTCAACAGATGATGTCAAAATGGACCTATTCGACCGCCCCTTAAAACTCATAGAGGAAATTTATTTTATTTTCGCTACCCTTCAAACTCATATGAGTTCGCTTGAAAAGCACATGTTTGTGTAAACATCCGGTCATGTGACGTCAATCAAGAGTTAATATTCGAGTATGAATCGAAGTCGCCCCACGTGATATCTTTCCCCAGGTAATTGTGTGAATACCACGTGATATATAGGCAGCACGTTTTTAGCTAACTAGGACACTGTGCTCGAACACGTTAAATGGTAAATTTACCGTGATTTAGAATATTCTTTACTTACATGGACGGGTTCATACGTTTCAAACCTTTATAAATAAATTGGAAGATGGAAAATTGAGTTCTCGTATTTTTTAATACATGTTATTGGAATTCATCCAGTCTAATTTTAGATTCATTCTTACGATATGTTAGCTCCGCCTCTCATTCATAAAAAATGTTCAATCAAGGGCAGGTAAGTTTAAATGATCTGTATTTAGAAAACTGTAAGGACAAAATATGAAATAAGTTATTGCTTAGTTGAAATTGTTTTGAATATGTTTTACAGCTGCAAATAGCACAAAAATATGTTTCTACATTTTGCATCGTGGCTTAAAGCTTGCAGTATAGCCTGTTAATTCTGCAGAACCATCATTGGCAATTATCACGTGACCAAATTCCAGGGTATCAGAACGTGGTTAATTTTGAGAGGCCTACATCTTCATTTTTGATGACAATAAATTCTTATCATTCATCAATGATCATTGATTTTTTTTACATCGATGAATCTATTTATGAGCAAACGCGGTAGAATGTTTTTAATTCTTTAAAATTATTTATTTTGCTTTGAAGACAGCCTCAGAAATAAATAATTCAGCTTTTTCACCTTTGAAGATCTTGACGTGCTTTCCTTGCATAAACGCTTTAAAAATTGTAAAAGAACTTTTTTTAATGCTAAATTTTGTTTGCATCCGATTTGATGCTTTAAATCAATTTTACTTGGTTATTGATTCTGCTTAATTGTATATACGTAACTTGGGGTAAAAATCTCATGTCATCCCATCCCACAAAAGGTTGATAGATGCTATTCTCAGGCTTGTAATAGAGTAAAAACATAGGTAATCAAAGATTACGAAGCTCACCTCGACGAATGTTATCAGTTTAAGTAATGCAAATCCTACATCATATTTTCTTATATTTAGTATTCATCCCAACAACAATATTCTTGCAAGTTGTGTTTAACCCCTTACATGGCATATACACATTTCTAAGCCTGTAGCGTGAAAAATATGCATATGTATAGTGTAAACAAATATTCATAACTGTTAATAATGCATCAAGGTCTTCAAGTTCATTCGGATTGATCTGTTCCCAAAACTTTAACCAAGTCTCTTGTAAGGAAAATATAGGTCAGATACAGCATCCGAAGCAAGTCTGATAGTGTCCATCCTTAGATGCATCATCTATGCAAGTTTGGTTTAGGTAGGGCTTATAGTTACTTGGGAATGAAAATAAAGGTCAGATCCAGCATCCAAAGCAAGTCTGGTAGTGTTCATCCCTAGATACATCATCCATGCAAGTTTAGTTTAGCTAGGGCTTATAGATACTTGGGAATGAAAATATAGGTCAGATCCAGCATCCGAAGCTAGTCTGGTAATGTCCATCCCTAGATGCATCATCCATGCAAGTTTGGACCGAGTAGGGCTTATAGTTACTTGGGAAGGGACCTGCTCCAAAAACTTGAACCTGGTCACTCATTTGGAAAATGTAGGTCAGCTCCAGCATCCGAAGCAAGCCTGGTAGTGTACATCCCTAGATGCATCACCCATGCAAATTTGGTCCCGGTAGGGCTTATAGTTCCTTGGAAATGGACCTGCTCCAAAAACTTTAACCTGGTCACTCATCTGGAAAATGTAGGCCGGATCCAGCATCCGAAGCAAGTTTGGTAGTGTACATCCCTAGATGCATCATCCATGCAAGTTTGGTCCGAGTAGGGCTTATAGTTCCTTGGGAAGGGACCTGCTCCAAAAACTTTAACCTGGTCACTCATCTAGAAAATGTAGGTCAGATCCAGAATCCGAAGCAAGTCTGGTAGTGTTCATCCCTAGATACATCATCCATGCAAGTTTGGTTCAGATAGGGCTTATAGTTACTTGGGAATGGACTTGCTCCTAAAACTTTAACCTGGGACGCCGACGCTAACGCCGACGCCGACACCGACACCGACGCCAACGCCGGGGGTATAGCATAAGCTCATCTCGACTTCGTCGAGGTGAGCTAAAAATCGTACAAATAAAAGATAGAACCGACATTCCATGGTACAACACTATAATTCTCCTTTCGCCCTCAGACTTGTGTTTACATAATACTTAGTGGTATAAGCGAAAGTTAGTTTTTTGTATAAAAGAATCCATTAAAGTCAGGTAATAATTGTGATTTATTTGAGAAACTTTGCTTTTTAATTAATAACAAAATAAACTATCTATTAAGGTTATTTGTTCACGGTTGTTTTGAAAACATGAAAGGATGAAATCAGTTCAATTGATGTTAATGTAGATTCTCAAGACATTTTGAAACTATTCAGTTTTACGCCTGACATAGAAAAACACAGAAATCTTCCAGAAAAAATTGTGGCCTTCTTACCTAAATTTACTCAAGGAAAAATTGAAGGAGAAGGACTTTGTAGAATATTTGGAACATCAAAATTGCTAAGTTCTCTCACTTCAGATAAGCATGGCTACAGCATGAAGACGACACAAAAATCACCAGAAGCTGGATCCTCTCCTCCAGTCAAACAGCTGCTTGATGAACCAGAGACTGTCACCACCATAGTCACTGGGTATACAGAACTTTACAATGTTGCCTGTCTGAGTGATGAAGAAATCTGGACAAGAGGAAATGACAGCGCTTTAAAACTCTATAGCATTAATCATAGACCCCTACTCAAGTCAATCACAACCAAGTCAAGGTACACGCCAGATACCATAGCAGTGACAAAAAGAAGAGATCTAGTTTATACTGATTACTGGGATAGAACTGTGAACATTGTGAAGGACGAAAAGATAGAGGAGGTGATTAGACTACAGAACTGGAAACCTCAAGGTATCTGTAGTACCTCTTCAGGTGACCTCCTGGTTATCATGATCAGTGATGATTACAAACAAACAAAAGTTGTCTGTTACTCTGGATCCACAGAAAAACAATCCATTCAGTTTGATAATAAAGGTAAACTTCTCTATTCATCTAGTAGTTATTACAGATATATAACTGAAAACAGGAACCTGGATGTCTGTGTGTCTGACAGTGGAGCTGGAGCAGTAGTGGTGGTCAATCAGGCCGGGGAACTGAGATTCTGGTACACTGGACATAGTCCTGCTCTAAAGAACGAAATTCAGTCCCATAGGAATCACCACAGACAGTCAAAGTCACATCCTTACAGCTGATAATTACAATGTCTGTGTCCACATCATAGACCAGGATGGACAGTTCCTCCGTTACATAGACTGTGAACAGAGTTATCCCTGGGGACTGTGTATAGATACAAGTGACAATCTCTTTCTTGTTCAGATTGGAGACAGTCAAGTGAAGAAAATCAAATATATGCAGTGAAACCATTACCATAAATATACTAAAAGAAAGTAAATTAAACGAATATGTATGTATCAGTGCACTTTGTGCATTTAGTTTAAATACATGTACTGAAATTTAAATAAAACTATATTGCTACATAAACGATTAGTAATATTAATTATATAATACATGTACATGTGTATCTGTTGGTATATTCATTATATAATTAATAAGAGGCCAAGTGGCCACATTGCTCACCTCTGTACTTTGGTTAGGAAAAATAAAAAAAATCAGTTAAGTATTTAAAAAAAACGTCAATGTATAAGTGGTACCAACCTACTCCTTAAAGGTAGAAGGGGTAAAGGGGGGATTGCTATTTAATTAAGCTTGAATCTACACCACCTGAGGATGATCATATAAATTTTACCAGTCGTGATTTTGCTGTTCTTGAGAAGATTTTTAAAGATTTTTTTCCTACATAATTCCTTGGTTAAAACTTTGATAGTCTATAGTGGCACTACTGTATCCCAAGGGGTCCTAGAGGTCATGAACGAACTTAAATCTACACAACCTGAGGATGCTTCTGTATAAATATTTATTTACTAATCATGGTTTTGCTGTTCTTGAGAAGAAGATTATTAAAGATTTGTCCTTTATATTCCTATGTAAAACTTTGATCGTTCCTACCCTATCCCCGGGGAACATGATTTGAACAAACTTCCAGCTTCCATATCAATATTACAAATCCTTGCTTTGCTGTTCTTGAGAAGAAGATTTTAAAACATTTTTTCTATATATTCCTATGTAAAACTTTGGTAGTCTATAGAGGCCCCACCCTATCCACGTTTTGAAAGAACTTAAGTCTACTCCACTTGAGGAAGCTTCCATATAAATATAAGCAATCATGGCTTTACTGTTTATGAGAAGAATATTTTTAAAGATTTCTCCCATATATTCCTATGCAAACTTTGATCGCCCATTTTGGCCCCACCCTACCCCCGGAGTAATGATTTGAACAAACTTGAATCTACACTACCTGAAGAAGTTTCCATATTAATTTTTCCTTGCTTTGCTGTTCTTGAGATATTTTTTTAAAAATTTCTATGTAAAATTTGATAGTCCATTGAGGCCCCACCCTACCCCCGGGGGTACAAACTTAAATCTATAGAGGATGATTACACATGAGTTTTATCTTTCCTGGCCCAGTGGTTCTTGAGAAGAAGATTTTTTAAAAATGCCATAAATTTTTTCACTAATTCATAATTATCTCCCCTTGGAAGAGAGTATGGCCCTTCATCTGAACAAACTTGAATTCCATTCACTCAAGGATACTTTGTAGCACGTTTGGTCGAAATTGGCCCAGTGGTTCTTTAGAGGAAGATGAAAATGTGAAAAGTTTATGACAACGCCAACGACGGCAGACAGCGGACAAATTTTAATAGAAAAGCCACTTGAGCCTTTGGCTTAGATGAGCTAAAAGGGAATATATATATACTCTGTTATATGAAGTGCTGAGTTTAACTTAGCCTAATGTTTATAACCATGTTTTACATTTAAGCAGTGAGTTTAACTTCTGAATGATCTACAATGTATATCTATCGATTTGAATTATCATTAAATTAACCGCTACAATTTTCATTTACCGCTACATACACAAAACCGCTACAAAAAATTACATGATCGCTACATTTATATGTTTGTATTGCCGCCACATTGCCTCTCTTTGCCATCGGCTTATGTATGGACAGGCTGATTAAAAGTACAAAATAATATGTGCATAAAACATGATTCTCCTGCTCACCATGGGGAGGTGAAAGTAAGACTTCGAGCAGGATGGGTTTTGTTTTCAAAATTTTTATGCAAAATATATTTATTTGATTGAAATTTGAAAGGTTTTAAAACGGAGTATTGTTCATAAATAAGTTACACAGTCTTTACATAAATGGTAGAACTTTGAGGGCCATTTGCTGTGAGGTACTGTTCTCTGGAAATATCTTAATATAATGAATCATAATGAACTTATATTCAATTGCATCGCTAAATAATTCGATTTGTAGCGATAATGACTTGTCATTAACAATACTGCAGTATTCCTATTGACAAAATGTTTTGGAAACGATTGTCCTTAATTTCGAAGAAATGGTTTGAAATATCTTGCAGTACAGTTGCTACCCAAACTGTATCTCATATAACAAGATTTTAAGAAATCGTGACAATCTTGATACAACGTGATATCAAGTTTTAGATTTTATATCCTCAGGTTAATATCAGAGATGAAAGTTATTCTCTAGTGTAGACATAGGCAATTTCTGTGATAAACCAAACCTGATGCAATTAGTTTTAGTATACTTAATTTTCCTTTTCACGACCGCAAATTTCTACAAATTTAACAATTGACTTAGGATCTTTTTCCGACAACGATTTAAACCTGCTATCTAATATTTCTTAAAAACTTTGTAGGTAACTAAAGGCATTCAATTTTCAACAACTCAGATGAGAACAGAATGAAAATTATAAAAAAAACAACCAAACAAACAGATATCGATCTCCAAAAAAACCTACAATCAGTACAGATTTGTGAGTACCTGACATAAAACATAGACCCTGGAAATTCCAAATGTAGTACCAGGGCTGAAATGGAATGATCCTCGAAATTGAGTTGAGGTGTTTAATAATCTCTTGACAGTGGATTCATAGGTATCCATATACTCCTTAGATAATGCTCCCTTTCGTAGGCACATGCTATCTGGCGAAAAATATCCGTAAGTTGAGAAAATGGACAAAAAAGGTACCCCGACCCCCTTTCTTTCGCTTTTAAAGCCAGCACCCCGTGCACAACATAATATACACCCTGCATATTGAGATATACACGGTGGAATGGCCAGATCAGTTTTCCAATCAACACAGGGTATATGTCTGCCCAAACCATCACTGAACTTGTATTTAATATGTCATGCTTTGAAATGAAACAAACATCTCTCCCCCCCCCCCCCACTTGCTCTCCAAACAAGTATCCTGCCATCATTGAAGTCAAAACAAAATCACGACTCCTCTGAGAAGAGAACAGAACACCAGTGGCGTTATTGCCATTTTCTGTGTTCTGTTGTCCACTCTAGTCGATTTCTGCGATACTCTTATTTTAACACCTACGGTTGGTCGAGATGGATTAAGATTTTCTCCATAAAGACCCTTTCAAACCGTTTGGGTAGAAATCTTTCTTACCGTTGCTCTCTGAAGCTCAGTATTAAGCTTAAAGCACTTCGAAAGCTTTGGCACTTTGCAACTTTGGCCAAATAACGGTCCTCACAGACTGTCGTACACCTTGGACGTCCCATCTTGGCCATCTTTTCCAATTTACTGCCTGCAATATCAGTTCAATAAAGTTTGGAAAACATTCGGTCTTTTTGAAATGTGACGTTGCGTTTTGCGTGGATCCAACATCCCCATTTCCTGGAGCATTCGTCCATGCTCATATGCTTCCTCATATTGTCTTCACCAGTTCTGGATATAAATACTGAAACTTTCTTATGTTCCCTGAAAAAAATCCTCTTTGATACTTTTATGCTCCCGTTATTCCACTTTCTTTTTTAACGCCACGTATTTCCTTTATTAAGCAAAATGCCGCAAAACTCACCAAACACGTGTTATTTTTTAAAAAAAAATCATGTTTATCTTTCTTTAGTTTCTATGGTGGATTATTCCCCTCTCCATATATGCAAGCTGGAATACAATCATGTAAGAAGCATTCTGAAAGGCTTGCATCAGAATACTGAATTGTCACTTTCAAGCTTTCGTCAAAGGTCAACATGTCTAAAAAATATTTTTACAATAGCTCCAAAACTATTTGTGTTATAAAGTCAAAACGTTTACAGTTTATAAATATATCATTGATTAATAGAAAGAAATATCACTTGATAACAAATATTTTTTTAAAGATATTTTTTAAGAAAATTGTATCAGAAAATGTGCATATTTTAAGAAAAATGCACTTGCTTAATTCTGTCCTTTTTGTGAAAACCATAATTGCAGAAATAATATATGTTTATCATGGAAGGGCAAGTTGAACGTGATTGTTCTCCGAAAGGCTGTTATTAAAAGCTTGACATGTATAAAGACAAGATCCCTATAGAATCTGCCATATGCAATGTACTTTCACTTGCAAGTCTTAACATTTGGACAATATAAACAGGGAAATTAACTTTCCAGAGGCTATCCAAGTCCAATTTGCCCTTCATTGATAAACATATTTTGTTTCTGTAATGATGGTTTTCACTAAGAACACAGAATTTAATTAGTTGTATTTTTTATTAAATATATGCATTTTTAAAAAGAATTTTTCTCAATATATTTTCCAAGTATTTTTTTTTTATCAAGTGATACTTTCTATCTGTTTATCAATAAAAAAAAAATAGAAAATGTGAAAGTCTTAACTTTATACCTCACATAGTTTTGGGGCTATTGTAAAAAAAAAAATATTTGGACATGTTCACCTTAGACGAAACCTTAATTATCGGCATTGTGTTTGACCCACTGTAGTATATGTATCTATGCTTTATATGTTTTTGTACCTCATGTACCATTTACATGGTTTTGAGTGAATAAATTGAATTGAATTGAAAAGCTACAGAGTTTTGGCATAAATTTACACTTGCAGTCCCCCCTTGTTTATAACGAGTTAAAATACTCCATTTTCTAATGAGTTTGGGATTCTTAAATGTTAGGCAGTGTAAGCCAATGATTTAAATCGCTATTTTACTCGAACCAGGAAGTATAATTACCTGACAGGTAGATATTGCACAGACAGGTGAGCAGGTAAGTGGGTCATGTGATCCAATATATTGATTTGGATATTATTTGGCCGACAAGACAGGCG